GAAAATTTAAAAAAAGAAATTTCTATGTACACAGCTTAATAGTCATCATAGTGAATATTTATCGGTGATGTCTTATTCAAACACCTTTGAATTGCTCATTGCTGTCAGGCTAACAATCGACTTCCATTTTAATTTTGCCATTACATAAAGCAAAATATATTTAGTTTAATTCATATGTCTATTAAGTATGTTAATTCCAAGTGTATTTTTCTGAGTTTTAACAGTTTTGAATTAAAAACATAAGAGAGTTTTAGTTATATTCTTCTTAAATAATTCAAATGCTGTTTAGTTTTATTTACTAAGAAATATCCTTCGTGTTTCAAGAAAAGTTTAATCAAAATTTTTTATTTTGCTTAATGAGAAGGAGAAAGAATAACAAATTTTAAATAACTTATAATGCAAATGATTGATCACACAAAAAAATAAATAAATAAAATAAAAGATTTCTCCCTTTGCTTTTTAGTATCACTTGGAAACAATAATCTTACAAATGGTATTACAATGGATAATGTGATGATCATCCATGTCAAACTGACCCTGGAGTTAGAACACATGCCAGAAGTAATAGATCTTCTAGCCATAGAAATATGTTAGAAGTGTACACGGCGAGGAGGTAGATCACTCCTCAGTATTATATTTGCGATAAAATTTGCTAAATAAATACACGTGATGCAACAAATTTTAGTATTAAATGTCGAGGAGGTAGATCACTCCTCAGTATTATATTTGCGATAACTCTGCTTTAATGACTTAAAAAACATAAACAAAATGCAAGATCTTTAGTAATGATATTATTTTTAATATATATACATCATAGCATTTAATATATATTTTAATATATATATATATGCATGCATAGTAAGAATGTTAGAGTAGCAACAACAATATAAATAACATGTAAGAAGTAAACAACATTAAAAATATGGTTATTCTACTGTGTTATATCTTATTTTTGAATAGAGAAAAAAAAAGTATATTTAAGGAATCAAGAATGATTTTTCTAAAAAATAATTGCGTTGTGAGAACATTTAACTTTAATTAACAAAATTTACCAGATATAACAAGTAGAAGTAATTTAAGTTAATTTAAAATTATTAGCACATTTACTATTACTGCAATAATAATCTTGATGATCTGGAAGATAAAAGTAAATTAAATTTAAAGGATTCACATCCAACAACATAATTAATCTAGACTAAATATTTTTATTTAAAGAACTTAATCATAAGTCAAATTAGTTTACAATTTAAAAATGAGTTGCTTTACTGCTACATGACTTACACTTCAGCTAGACAGATTATTTAAAAATAATCATTTTTCTTTAGTTAATATCATATCAAAATAAAATAATAATAAAAGAAATTACGGGCACATAAAAATAATAAAAAAAAAGGTAAAGGACTTATCCTAAAAGCGCGCGTGGCCGGCCACCCCGCATCCATCCCTCAGATCACGTTCAACATCAGTCGTCAGCACATGGAATGTCTAAAAAACGAATTGCCGCTCTTTTCTCCCGCTCATGTATTCATCCGCACCAAAGGGTGGCGCTACTATCGTTTTGACTATTCACACCTGTGAATGAATCCATTCTCAAGTAGGGGTGAGGAAAAAATATTGGAAGGTGTTGAAGGATAGGGGTGTAAGTGAAAATCAGATGGGGTTGTTGATTAAAGTAAAAAAATATAGATTAAAAAAAAATGAGATTATTTAAATTAAAACGCGGTGCCCAAAAAGAATTAAATAAAATTGTGCCCATAAATAACTAACAAAAATAACNTTTTTTTTTTTTTTTTTTTTTTTTTTTTTTTTTTTTTTTTTTTTTTTTTTTTTTTTTTTTTTTTGATTGTTACTTATTTGAACTAAACCTAAACATAAATGATTCAATGGAATATCATGACGGTATGTATTTGAGAATCGAGTTGTTTAAAGGTCTAAAAGTTACAGGGGCATCTTCGGTTCCTTGAACCAATCAACACAGTTCAACATAATTCAAAGCTTCTCAATAGACTTTCTGCAGTAAGTCCAGAGGAAAGATTTCGTTGTTACCCGTGATGTGTATTCCTGTGTGTGTTAGGAGTTTTTCCTTCAGAAGCCTCCCATCTGTATACTCTATCCTCTACCACATTCCATGTCTTAGCGAGCTGATCACATGCCACTTTTTGATACTTGTATTCTCACTTTAATAGTACTCTCACTTGGATAGAACTCTCATTCATGACTGTCACTTTTCGACACGATATAACTTAGCAGAAAATCATCTACCGACCAGGAACGGCAAAGGGCCCTTTTGCTGCCCCAGGCAGTAACGTTTCTTGCGTAGTAACCATCGTTGCTTATGGAGTGTACGTTGCTTATGGAGACTAACGTGATTTTAGTTCTGTTTCTCTGATGAGACATTTTGTACTTCCAAACACACACCTTGAACACAGTGAAATGTCCAACAGTTACATATTGTTAAATACGCTTAACTGTCTATTTAGTTGAAACGTCTTAGCAGGTAATGTCCAACAGTTACATATTGTTAAATGCGCTTAACAGTCTATTTAGTTGAAACGTCTTAGCAGGTAATGTCCAACAGTTACATATTGTTAAATACGCTTAACAGTCTATTTAGTTGAAACGTTTTAGCAGGTAATTATAAATCCATAGTTGCACTTCCTACCATCTATATCCCCAAACAACTCAATTCTCAAAATCACATAAACATTGAAAAATTTAAATGACCAAAAAGAAATTTATAATTTGCTCTCTTGCCAAGGATTTTAGAAAAAAAAACTTATACAATTCATGTCAAAATTGATCATAACTTTTGTGAGTTTCACTCACAGAATAAAAACTTGACAAAATATCCTTAGATATATTTGCGACGATAATACATTGAAAACATACATAAAATTTTATATAAAAGTTAGAAATATCATAGAAATATAAAAACAAAGTCACATTTACTTTCTATGTCTGAGATTATAGTTATGGGTGTTATTTTTATTAGTTGTCGTTTTATTAGAATTATCAGTGTCTTGTTTGTTTGCATTTGTATCACAAAGGTTAGGGAATACAATTTTTTCTGGTATTTTCGCTAAGCGATCTACGTGTATCACCTGTCTCCTATTGGTGTCACAAACATCCTCAATTTCAAAATTTACAGGTGATTTTTGACTTTTAACCCTAAACGGACCTTTATTGGGCTTAGCAAATTTTTTTGTTAACCCTTGTGACAGTTGAGGAGTGTACACATATACAATATCGCCCACCTGGATATCCTTTGTTTTGCTGATTTTGTCCCGCCTTTTTTCTTGTTTGGAAGCAGACAGCTCTAAGCTTTCTTTGGCATATTGAAATGAATTTTTCAACCTTAGTGACAAATCATATGCATATTCATGGTGGTCAGCATAAGTAAATTTCGTATCATTGGTTAAGATATCCTTAGGAAGTTCTATTTCACGACCATACAGTAAGGATGCTGGGNGATGTGTATTGGATATTCCTTCTCTAATAAAAAGAGATACCATTTTGTTTTCGGTTGTACAAGAAAGAATATCAAGCAAATGTAGCGTTAATGTAGCGTTGCAATGCTACACGCTACATTAACGACGTCTCCAGAGTAACTGAATGACGGTTCATATAGAAATCGCAGGTATGCGTCTCATACAACAACGCCCCCTATAGTTCGTTGCGATCGCGAATTGTTTTTCTATCAATATGTTTTTAGTTTGTTTTGATACACATATAATTTAATAGGGTAGTATTTTTTATTTTCAAGTTTAGTGGATAACAATTGTAAAAAATGAGTGAAAACAATCCCACGGACAATGCGACGGATTTAAGGTTATGTCAAGGTACGTCTCTTGTGAATATCAATTGGTTGTTAAGTTTTCTCTTTTGAAATTACATTATGACGCATTCACATACATTATTAATACAAATACATTTTCCAGGGCGAGACGATGAGGCAACCACAATCACTTCCACTGGTTCAAGAAGTACACGAGGGAAAAATGCACAATATTACCGTTATTACAGAGAACGGAAGCGAGCGGAGCAGGAAAAAGAGTCGTTAAATAGAACTAGTGATCCTTCTACGACTGCTGATTCTTCTACAATTAACGTCGCAGGTTGCGAGGTTTAACTTCTTCCACGCGGAAGGACTCCACGCACTATTTTTTTTTAATAATGTTTGATTCTGGGCCGTGGTGGCTTGGGGAATAAAGCGTTTGCCTCCCAATGAGGAGAACTGAGTTCGAATCCCAGCTATGACTGGGATTCGAATTCCGCACCGACATCAGTGTTGACGTAAAATATTATCAGTGGTAGATGGATCATTGGTTAGAGTTCCTTTGCAGGCAGGCTAACCTTGGGTGATTTTTGTGGTTTTCCTCTCTGCAATGCGAGTTAGTTCCATCAAAAAAGTTCTCTACGAAGGTAAATTTCTTCCAATTCCCTGATCCAGGAGTTCCTTTGTCTTCCGGTTTGGGTTCAAAATTACAAAGCATTGGTAGTCGTAAATTCATAAAATTGGGTCGGCTGTTCTACGACGGTTGTAAAATATAAAATGTTTGATTCTATTTAGAAAGATAAAATAAAGTGTAAAACTTTCTTGGATTTTAAAGCACTTAAAGAAATATATTTTGAGTTCTTATACGAGAGAACATAAAAACACTGCTCAAAATATCCCCCAAAATTTATCATATTATAGTGTAATCTATTTTGAGAGCGGATACCCCGTTATAGAAATCATTCAACCGGAAATTTATTTATTTTCTTCTTTTTTTTTATTTAAAAGATTTAATGTTCATGTAATGATGCTAAATTAAAAATTGACTGTTTATTTGTCAAGGCTTGCACCAAACATCTGGAATTTATGCAAAGAAAAATNGTCGGGGTACCTTTTCATAGATGAAGGTTGACATGGTCTGTAACTACTCTCCCCACATTGGTGACCCGGACGTGATGTGAACACGCCTACCTTGGCAAAAAAAAACGCCCACGTTGATCTGGATACGCCTACATCGGCAGTAACGCCTACTTCGTTGGATGGTCCACATTGAACAGTTGACTTGCTACTTGTGACTGCATCATTATCCACCTCCTGGCACTGTTGCTACTCAGTCTCGAGCACACAACGTCGGCCTGCATACACTCGACTGCTAAAGGCAACACAGGAGCGACTACGACAGTGAAGTTAATACACCTCTCACATTCAGCACTCATAAAGTACGGTGATCTTAATACAGCTCTCCCGGTTTCGCACAAAAACAGCAATGATTCAACTAGTGGTATCCATTCATCGAATTCTATCACAGATAAAATTCTGGTGGGGGAGTACTGTAGCGTATCTACCACTACAAAATTACAACTACAATTCACTAGTATATAAGACATGTTAACTCGACTCTATGTCGGGGTACCTTTTCATAGATGAAGGTTGACATGGTCTGTAATTCCGCCCCCCACACACTTAAAGAAATATATTTTGAGTTCTTATATGAGAGAACATAAAAACACTGCTCAAAATATCCCCCAAAATTTATCATATTATAGTGATTGACATAATCTATTTTGACAGCGGATACCTTGTTATAGAAATCATTCGACCGGAAATTTATTTATCTATTTTTTTTTATTTAAAAGATTTAATGTTCATGTAATGATGGTGTTGAAAAAAAAACTAAATTAAAAATTGACTGTTTATTTGTCAAGGCTTGCACCAAACATCTGGAATTTATGCAAAGAAAAATAACATAGCTCATAGAGATGGTGATGCCCCTGCTCTATATAGAGCTGCTGGAGCGATTCCCGTAACCGTAACTAATGTTCCAGAATTGTGCTGCACGTGGATTACATCAAATACAATCTATGGAGAAACCAAAAACCCATACGATACCACTAGAATATCAGGTGGTAGTTCAGGTAAGCATGTCAACGCATGAGAGAGTGTAAAAAAAGTTAAAATTATGTCACTGTCACGAAATTAAAGAGTTGTGTCACTTTGATTGGCTAACCTCAGAAATTCCACGCTTATCAAAATGGTGTGTGACTTAAGTTAAAATTTTTCATTTTTTATATTTTTTTCGACATTTACTGTTATTTTCTTGACGTTCTCATTCGTTAAAATGAATAAACCCAAAGTCGCAACATCTATCTGTTACTTGATTGGATCATTATTTCCTTCCGAGGATAACTTAAAAATTCCAAACCGGAATAAGCAGGTGGTAGTTTCGCATCTTGGCAGATACTTGCAAAATGTCCGTATTTATCGATGTTTGTCTCTATTTACCTTATGTTCTAATGCTCTGCCTTTATTGTTTTTATTATAAGCAAGAAAAATATTTAGAAAAATGTAATATTTTAAAATATAACGTAATTAATGAATTAATAAATTAAAGTTATGTCCTTGTCTCGGAACTAAAGAGTTATGTAACTTTGATTGGCTAACTTCAGAAATTTTTTGCATAATCAAATGGTGTGGCTTAAGTTACATTTTTTTTTAATCGCGTAGTTTCTGCGGAGCGTTAAAGGTTGACTTCTCAAACTCTAATAAAGATTATAATAAGAAAATAGTTGTTTTTCGATATTCAAAATTACAAGTCAACAAAAGAGATTGTAGATTGAAAAAAAAATTTTGTTTGAAGTAATTTTTTAAAGATTTAATGTAATAAAAAATTTTAGTTTCAAAAACAAGAATTTAAATTTTAGAAAATAAATTAACAGTATATAAATAAATAATATTAATAAATCGAATGAACAAAAATAAATAAATAAATATAAAAGTAGGAAATAAATAAATTCAAATAAATGAAAAAATTATCTGTGAAATATAACAGTTAGGTCTCGGATTCTATTTGAAAACCTTAATGTAATATGGAATCTATATAATGTTGAAAGTAAAAGCGGGCTGAAAAAGAAATGCTCAAATGAAAACTCAAATTTTCATATAGATTCAGTAATTTTGAATTTTACATTTCTCATCGAATATTATTACTGTTACTTTTCATTCTTATTCATCTATTCATATTTGTGCAAATAAATAAATAAATAAATATTTTTTAAAAATTTTTTTAGATTGAATGACAGACCACAATAAAATAATCTTTAGAAACTGAAGTAGAATGATATATTCGGATGCTTAATTTGTATCGTTGCTTCATTTGTATCGTAAATTGTAAAGGTGGAAAAGCCGACTGTACTTCCGAGCTTTCAAAAATAGGCACTCATTCAAAAGACTCACCACACGTGAATGAGAAAAAAAAAAGTCAGATTTGAAAAAGAAAACGCAAACTTCAAAAAAAAATAATGGTGGACAAAATAAAGGTGAACAACATCTATTGAGAAAGTCGTGAATGAGGCAGTCGTGAATGATCCAAGCGCTGCTAAGAAAGGGAGAGTCTTCCATCTGCGAATCAAAAATCATATGAATGAAACAAGATTTCTGAAGAGACAGGGTATGAAATGATTTCAGCATTTTCCTTATAACGACATTTAATCACATTTATTGCAAACAACACTATGACCATCTTCATTGATTTGGTATTTAAAAGAACAGAATGGGAATTGAGTTCATTTATAGCTAATTTTTGAGGGTATGTGAGGTATATTCGAGTGTTTATTCGAAGAAATTGCGTTCGAAATTAAATGTATCACTTTGACTAAAAGAAACTTTACTCAGCTTACATGCTCCCAAATTTCTTTCATCAACTCATCTTGATGCTCTGTCTAGATTCTTGTTTCATCCTTATAAATCCTGATTTCCTAATTAAAGACTCTCTTTTCGGCTCAATAACTTTTCGAAAAGCATTATGGCTCGATTTGTCACGCGGCTACCATGATGTAACTAGTTTTCTTATAAATCTTTATTTTATTCTTAATATTTACGTTTCGTTGTATTCTTAGAATATTAGCGTTTCTTTTCAAGCTTGTCTTCATCCATGACTGAAAATCAGTCTTGATAATGGGAGCTTATTTTTGAGCGCTTGAAAATCTCGATTTATTCCTCCTTCATGATTTATGAAACACATAAAATGTTAACATTTTCTAGTAGATACATCACGATATTAATACAAAGCGAAAATATGAAATTTTATCCAAAAGGATAAGGTAATATTTTGTGCTATGTAGACAGAAGAGAAATACAGCGTGAATAAAGCACAAATCATGTAAGGAAATGGACAGATGCAATAAGGAGAAAAACTGGCTTTTCTCTCCATGTAACGCAAACTTGGGTCAGTTTCTTAAGAAGTCCTCTACGAATGCAAATTGCTCCCAGTACTTGATTCAATAGTTCCCTTGTATTCGGGATTGAGTTCACAGTTACAAAACTACGGAGTTGAACCTTGATAGTCGTAAACTCAAAATTGGGTCGGCTGTTCAAGCACAGTTATAAAATAAAGTATAAAATATACCGCACTGACAAAAAATTTGATAAGCGCCCTAGCTATTAATATCAGCAAAATGTTTTTTGAGGTTGGTGAAATTTAAAGTTTTGTGTGTTGATAGGTGGTGAAGCAGCACTCATTGCCTCTTGCGGAGCAGTTATTGGTATCGGAACTGATTTGGGAGGGAGCATTCGCATTCCATCCTCTCTCTGTGGAATTTATGGACATAAGCCATCATCTGGTGAATATAAACAGATTTTTTACCTATTGCACCATCATCTATAGAAATTCATGAGTTATCGTAAATTAGCATCATAATGTACAGGATTCGGTACATCGATTATAAGCTTAGAGAAAAGGTATGGCATAATCCTGACCCAAAATTGGGTCTGCTGTTCAACGACATCGGTACTCGAACCCACTCTCCTTTAATCGGTGCTTGAACCCACAATCATTTGAACAATTTTTAGGGGGACGCATCCTAAAAAGCCTATAATTATTTCTTCTGGTGGGGTACACTATTACCCGGTAATATAATACATGGTCCAATTTGAATATTATAAGTCAAGAGGAGATATAGGGTCATATGTTGTAATACCTAATATTAATAACGCAGTTGTGTCATTTTAAGAGGTCAATTTAGAGCTTATATCATGCGTCATTCTGTTATATGACCTAAATCATGTACTATATTCAATTCCAAATCTTCGCACATGAATTTATTGCTTTAAGATCAAAACTGTCCTTACATAGGTAATTTTCTGCATAATCTATCTATCTATCTATCTATCTATCTATCTAAACTGCTGTTTGTAGAAAATGCAACACCATGAAGGAATCATCAGAATCAAATGAAATATTATTTTAATAATGGATATAGGATATTATGCAAATTAATAAAGTTTCAGAGCCATCGCGCGTGCGTGGCGCGCGCAGCGCCCTCTGAATTGATGCTGAAAGCGTATAAATAANGTTCCCAGCAGATCACCGAAGTCAAGCATCACTGGCTGCGGTCAGTGTGCGGGTGGGTGACCACTTGGATCAGTCTGCGTAGGGACCGACGGTGTGCGGTATGGGTCCTCGTTAAACTGTTCTACCGTAAAGTGCTCGACTTCGCTTGCAGGTCATCGGGCTACCGAAGCGGGGATGCCATCTCCTCTGCAGAGGATCAAAATTGCGATGGCATGTCTTCGAATCATCCTCAGGGATGTTTCCCAGACCGTCGCCAATAGCCCATTGTGCAGCTCTAGTGCGACGTAAATGAACTACAACAACAAGAAAAACTGAAGAATGATCCTAACATACCAAAATCGAAACTGAAATCAGTGTACAACGTTTTGTCGAAAATTAAAAAATAAAAAAATGCAAAAATTCTATTTAACTCAGCTTTTTATTTTGTTCTCCTAGCGTTTTTGTAATGTAATGTTACATATACATTTCCAACAGGTGTTGTGTCAAATCGGGGCTATTATCCTTACATCGAAATTGAAGAAATGCCATTTGATTACATGAACTGTACCGGTCCAATGTGCCGATATGTTGAAGACTTACTTCTCCTTATGAAAATATTGTGCAAAAATGATCCTAGGTTGGATCTTGATAGAAAGGTACTTATTAAAAATTGATTTTTGCTATATATAACACCTGTTTATCGCACATGAAATTAGGAATTAGAAATGTTTTTTTTTTAAATTTCCAATGACAGATTATAGACAGTAACAGCATACATGAACATCGAATAAAAATAAGAACAGAAACAAAAGATGCTGCAATGAAGTCTATAAATCAGAACACGTCTCTAGCTTCCCAATAGCGTTCAGTGATAGAATTCTTGCGAAGTGCAGAGCAACGGAGAAGGTGCGTGAAGTCCATGTCCTCACCAGAACTGCCAATAGTGCATACCGGGGAAGGAACGATACCAAATCTAGACAGATGTTTCCGCAGACAGTCATGACCGGTGGCCAAGCGGAATTTAGCCACCGCTCTTCGTCTTGGACCATTTCGCAAATTTAGGATGGTAGCCCTCCAAGACTTAGTAGAAGTACGGTCGATAAGTTCTTCATGAGCACAGATCTTAAAGGTCCAATTAATAAGCTGTTTGATGGAACAGAAGGGCATAATGTGAACAGAAGTCTGAATAGGCCCCATTTTTGGTTAAGTAGTCTGCATTTGCATTACCCGTAGCCCCGCAATGGGCAGGAACCCACTGGAGAACAATGGTTTAGGGATGCTAGGTACTCAAGTTGGAGGCGGCAATCTAAAATGTCTCAAGTTAAGGGATTATTTAAGGATGCAATGGCACGCAAAGCAGCTCGTGAGTCACATAGGGAATTAGGAAATGTTTAATCACCAATGCACCTAAATACGATACGAAATTAAGTATAGCATTTCAACTGCAAAATTATTGTCTCTGCAGATGAACACAACATGATGATAACAGCAGATTAGGACAAGTACTAATTACCCAGCTCCTTGCTGAATAATAACCAATCATAAAAGTATGCGTACTCAAATAAAAAGAAAATATTAGTTGGGATGGCATAGAATTAAATCTGAATAAGTTAAGGTGTTAGTCAATATGTATTAGAAAATTCATGCTTTAGAGAGTACTTTTATTAGAGACACGTTAAATATATGATTGTTTAAAATGTTTATTGTCTATTCACTGATTAAACTATCGATTTTTTTCTCAAAATGGGCTTTGAAAAAAAAGAGTTTGATGGTGTATTCATTTGCTAACATATTAATTAACTCTCTGAGAGTTAATGCAACTCCGTCTGAGGTATTGAGTTCTTCGATTTCAATATTCAAAGGAGTAGTCAGTTCTCATTTTTATGGATTAAAAAGGCACACATGAATTTGATTTTTCAAAAATATTTTAAGGTCGAAAATATTTAGGTGATGGAGTGACCTTTTCAGACTTGAATTAAAAGGAGAATGTCTCGGGATAGTTCAATCAAATTATTCTAAATTTTTTTTAATGGTTACCTGAAAAAAAGGTTATTAGGTTAAACAAATTACTATTTAAGAATTAACCATAAGATAAGATTTAATTATTCATTGATCTAACTAACATTTTCTTCGGAAAACTGCTTTCAAAAACATTTTCTTTCATCTAAACTCATTTTCAACGTAGGATAATTATTCTTTATTTCGAAATATCACAACGAAAATATAATGAAGAGAATCATAAGTTTTTGAAATATATTCTTGTATCATTTCACTTTCTAATTCTATAATTGTGTTTATGTATAGTTGGCCATTTTCGCACTTTTTCCTCTCTGAACCCTTTATTCATTCATTTAATTTAAGATATTTTCTTTCATGATATAGTAAAACTTTTTCCCCTTTAATTTTTTTCCGTTATTATTTTAGGTGGATTTCAGGAGAGTAAAAATATATTACATGGAAGAAACACCTAATAACCCTGTCTCACCTGTTATCAAGCAAGCGATTAGAAAAGTTAGTTTGCATCACACAAATATTATACTAGTGATTCAGATTTAAATTAGCCTAATTAAAATATTTTAATAAATGAATGTCAACTAAACTTTTGTAAAGTTAGTCTAACCCGTTTATCCAGTTTCAAATGATTTATTACGTAAGAAATAAATGTATTACGCAGAAAAAAAAAGCCTGGCAAAATTATCATACCTGTATGGCAAAAACATCAGGCAAAAAAAAAATTCCTGTAATTAAACCAAAATTTACACTGTTTAAAATATTAATTTGGTAATTTATCTGTTCTCTCTAACTGTTGATCAGAAATTCTGGTTTTCTAAATGATAGTTCTTATTACCATACATTTCGTAAAAGTGTCTAATGGAAAGACGAGATTGCTCGGCTAAGGAGGTCCCTGTAGAACGAAAACTTGATATAGATACACATGCAGGCTTGTGTGCTGATGAAAAGGTTCGATTTTTCAGTTGAGTAAGAGATATCACAAGTTAAAGAAGAACATTAAAAAGATGCATCTTTGGTGATAGCAGGTTTGAATCCCACCGTATACAGCTCTGTGAGGGCCATCTCTGTCTTGTTCTATCTGCTTTTTGACTTGACAAGGGTTTATAAGCAAAACTTTGTATTGAGCACATAAGCCTTCGTCTGAATGTGTAACACTAAATCAATAAATAGATCCTGGGTTACTTTGGGATACGAAATCGATTTGCCCTTAAGGTGTTGTGGCAGCCTAAAGTATAACGTTTTAAATACTGATTTAATTACGCTTTGCCCAGGCATTTCTATACTTACAAATAAGCATTTTTTATAGTATTAATATTTGCTAGATTCTATGAGATATTTTCGTATATTACTTAGAAATTTGAAAAAAAAATCATACCAAAAACAAAGTTGACAAGCATTTACTAAAATTAGAGCTCATAAAATTTTTGCGTTATCTCAAATTGTGCAAGTGCTGTTAAAATTACCAATTCTCTTGGTAAAGTTATCAAATTTTACCACATTTACCTCCAAACGGCATGATGATAAAAACATACTTTATTTTTAATTTTACCAAAAGTCATTACTTAAGTGCTGTGGTAGAAAATAACCGGACTTTCTGTTATTACAATAGGAATCAGAAAACTAAGTAAATTATATTCTGGTAGTTTTGATCACACATTTTTTTTCTCAGTGTAATAAGACGGGTAATGCATAGAAAAAAACATATTAATTACGTACATACACTCATTGAGTTTCTAGAATATAGAAGATATGTTCTATGCTTGCTAACAGTAGACACATATCTAAAGTGACTATCTTCTTAAAAAAATGATAGTGTAATTTGTATATAAATATTTGAAAAATCTCTGTTTTTTCCTTTCCTTGGCAGTCTTATATTCTGAGAATCTTTCCCATAGATTCTCTAACAGAAATATGTTTTTAAATAATTGGAAAGATAAAGATGTAAGTTTTCCGAATGTTCTATTAGAAATTTCGCTACCTGACTTTTTGTTTTCCAAGGAGGTTGATCAGCTTTTTCACTCTTTAAAGAGTAAACAGTTCTGCCGATACGTTCAATAGCAACATTCTGTAAATGTCTGCCACAGCAACAATGATTAGTTAATGCTGTGTTGCTGACGTTGCGGGTTCAGTACATGAACTTAGTACTTCACTAGTACTCATTGCACATAAAACAGAGACATAGAACATCCGTAATATGCATCAGAAATTTGATGAGTGAGTTATCTTCGAATGCATCATTTATATTTGTATACTACTCACTTTGTACCGTGAAGAGCACTTAGGAGCAGGAATGAATTATTTAAACTAACTATATTGAGCCGTGATGGCTCAAGTGATAGACCGTTAGCCCTCCAATGAAGTGAACCGAGTTCGAATGCCAGCGATGGCTGGTCGATACAAATTCCGCATCCTGCTTGCGCCAACCACACTGCTGACGTAAAGTATCCTCAGTGGTAGACGTATCATGGGTTAGAGTTCCCTCACCGTCAGACTAACCATATGAGGTTTTCTTCACCATGTAACGCAAATGTGTTTTAGTCCCATTAAAAAATCCTCCGCGAAGGCAATCTTCCCCCAATACTTGATCCAGAACTTCCCTTGTCTTCAGGATTGGGTTCAAAGTTACAAGGCTACAGAGTTGAAAATTAGCAGTCGTAACCCCAAAAAATTGGGTCGGCTGTTCAACGATGGTTATAAAATAAAATAAAATTAACTACATAACGTGTCCTTCATAAATTCACCAAGAAAAAAAATTAACCGTTGGTACTTTTCTCCTTAAAAAGATCAATAGTGGGCACTATTCGATTATTGCAATGATTGGTACAAATTCTTGATCCAGATTCTTGGATCTAGAACTGGAGTTCTCTAGCGTACTCCAGTTCAATATAGCTTCAGGTAGTTCAATACAATAGGTTTCCAACATAACTCAATACAGTTCCAGCTAAATTTAATATATAAATTCATAATTTTAATTTGTTTTTTAGGCAGCAACACATTTCGAAGAGCGATATGGAGTAAAAGCAATCCCTTTGCAGTTGCCAGAATTCGAATACTGCGTTGATATATTTAGAAACAAAATATTGGAATTTGAATGTTCCTTTAAGATTTTTTTGCAAGATGAAAACGGCAAAGTCCGCTTGTGGTTAGAAGTATTGAAATATGTGCTTGGGATATCAAAGCACACTGCTGCTTTTCTTTCTGCCTCAATAATGGAAAAAACTGAAAAAGATCAATATTACTATGAAATTTTGGAACGGTGTGACTCGCTGAAAAGGAAACTTCAAAAACTATTGCAGGAAGACGCCATTTTTTTGCTTCCCTCAGTGACAGACATAGCAACATTTTGTAACATGTCACTGACAAAAATCATGAATTATATTTATACTACGGTTATAAATTCTCTTTATTTACCTGCTACAAGTGTACCCGCGGGTCTGCATAACGGTCTGCCAATAGCTTTTCAAGTGATCAGTGGACAATTCAATGATCGACTCACAATCGCTGCTGCCGTGGAATTGAACACCGTTTTCGGAGGGTGGAAAAATCCATGTTCTACAACTGCGAGAAAAGTGTGGGGCGAATAAATTATGGAAAATCCTTGTTTTTGATTAAATATAGATCTTTTTTTTTTATTTGCAGAATTGCACAATGTTTGAGCTACGAGAGCATTGAAATTATTTTGGTAACATCAGGAATTTTTTTTAAAAAAAAAAAAAAACNTTGGTAACATCAGGAATTTAAAAAAAAAACAACAACAAAAACAATGATATTGAAAACTAGAATTTTATTTTAAAATTAGAATTAAAATACTTATTTTTCCAATATAATTATATAGAGCTGCTATGGCTCAAGGGATGGAGCGTTCGCCTTCCAATGAGGCGAACCGGGTTCGAATCCCAGTCGATGCTAACGTGAAATATCCTCAGTGGTAGGCGGATCATGGGTTAGAGTCCCCTTAACATCAGGCTAATCGTGGGAGGTTCTCGTGGTATTCCTCTCCGCGTAACGCAAATGCGCGTTAGCTCCATCAAAAAACCTTCCACGAAAGCAAATTTCTCAATACACTCAGGAGCTCCCTTGTCTTCTGGATTGGGCTCAAACTTACAAGTCTACCGAGTTGAACATTAGTAGTCGTAAGCCCAAAATTGGGTCGGCTGTTCAACACCGGTTATAAAATAAAATGTAATTATAAAAAATACATATTAAATGAAGAATTTTAATCATATGAATGAACTATTGGGTTGAGTAAAAAGTCAGTTTTTTATAACAGATTACAGTAGTGCAGTTTTTGGAATACTTGACGCATTTGCAATAATAGTCTTTACGTCATTGATAGCTGACGGTTAAAGCTTTATTGTAAAGAACAAATTGAACTATTTTATCGAGTTTTGGAGATTTGACAGAGCATTGAAAATGGCAGATCAATGTGTTCATTTGCGGCGTTAGATTTTTCTTTTTTAACTTCCGTCGAAAGAAAAACGCGTGTCAAGCTGGGGAAAAATTGTGCGACGATGACGATGCTCTGGGAAAATGTCCCAGAAAGCATGCATAACCTTACGGCTACCTTGTAATCTGAATTTTCTTTTTGTTGTCGTGAAAATATTTGTACAAAAAACCTTTTTTCAATAAAACAGAAATATTGCAGTTTCAAACCTTTCATCCTAAAAGAATTAAAAATTATTTTTTCAAAAGTATTGTCACTTAGGCAAAATGGTCACTAAGTCCATAATGACGTTTTAAATGACGTCACACTAGTGATAGGATCAAATTTGCTTTGTCCATTAAAATTTCATTACATGATGGATTTTAGCTGAGCGTACAAGACTTTGCGAAAAGAAACCGTATCATTACCTAGATTTAAGATTATTTTCACCTTGAGACTAGCTTTATTCAAGGATTTTTTTCACGCTTGAAAACCTTAAGACAACCTCGATTTAAGGTTTTGATATAGAATGTTATTTTCCAAGGTTTTGGATTAAGGTAATGAGCGTAGATTAAAGCACACACAGATTTTCACAGATCTCGTTTTAAGGTTGGAAGGTTTACTCGTAAATCGCATAACAAAACCTTTTTAGGCTTGCATTAAAAGGTGTGTGTAAATAAACGTTATTCTGCTATCTGTGTGTCAATGCCAAATCTGATTCAAGAAATTCCGAGCTGGTGGTTTTGATTGAAAGATGCCCTTCATTCAGGAAGGCTTAACCGGACAAAATAATGACATTGATCCTGTCAAAGTCACCTTACACGATGCGAGAGATTGTAGAGACATTGAAAATCAGTCAAAAAAGTCTTCACGTCCATCTAAAGAAGCTGGGTAATGTAAGCAAGCTCAAAATTCGGGTTCCTCGTGAATTCGAAGAAGTTCATTTGACGACACGAATAAACATCCACGATACGCTCGTGAAAGAAAACAACTATTTTTTGAAACAAATAATAATTGGTGATGAGAAGGGGATTGTTTACATCAATGTGGTGCGTAAACGGTTTTAGTCCTGAGGCGAAGATTCGCCATCAACGACTTCTATACCAGAATTTAATCAGTGGAAGGTTCTGCTCTCAATGCGGAGGGATTGGATGGGTGTGGGGTTTTTCGAACCTAACCAGGGAACGAAACAATAAATTCGGACGTGAACTGTAAGCAATTAGATACGTCCAGAAATGTCCTGAGCTCGTCAATCGTAAAAGAGTAGTGTTCCATCGGGGCAACGCAGGACCACTTACAACTTTGGCGACCGGCAAAAAGTTATTAATGCTTGGATGGGATGCGTTGCACCACCCACCATACTCACTTAACCTTGCGTCGTCAGACTTCCACTTGCTTCGCTCTTTTCAGAATTCCTTGCGTGAAATAACGCTAGATTCAGATGAGGCTGTAAATTATCACCTTGTTCAGATTTTCTCAAATAAAGTTAGGTTTTTTACGAACGAGAATTGTGACCAAACAATGGCAAAAGGTCATCGAACAAACGGGAACATTTATCATTGATTAACCCTTAAGTATATATGTATGACTTTGAAAAATGTAGAAAAAAACGCAAACACTTTTTACTCAAACCAATATTTCACTTTAATTTTAAATTAAAAAAACTGAGAGACTGATTATTCAAAAACTGAAAAACTATGTTTTATATTCTTTTCACGGAAATGCTATTTTAATACAATTATACATTATTATAAATCCTTTTTTTTAAGTAGATATAAGGTTGGTGTTTACACTTGCAGAACTCCACAAGGTTTAAGCTGAGTGAGGATTGAAGATACTTTACACCTTAAGCAATGAAGTTTAGTTGTATAAATACACTATTATACTATAATTTTAGATTTAATTTTTTGAGATTTATTGCATTAATGTAAATTTTTATGTGTTATTGTTGCTAATTAAAAACAAAGAACATTTATGTGGGATTTTTTGAAAGATCTACTAGCTTCTCACTGTATAAATTTTAAATAAAATATTTCAGTGTTTTTTTTTTATCATTTAGAATTGGAGATTTTTCTCTTGGCAAATATTAATATCACTCTATTTATTTTCACCATTTTATAAAACTTAGTAGATTAAGTAATTTTAAAAAAAAATTTAAACGAATACTAATCCTGAGAAAACAAGATGTTTACAGTCAACAAACAATTTCTACTTTTGAAAAACCAATTTTGATTCCTCCAAAAATCTAAAGCTTAAAACATTTAACAATTTTGAATTTTACACCAACAACATAAAAACTTAAAATATTAGTATTAGAGCTAGATAAGCTACTGATGAAAAAATAATTGTAATCTCTTTAGTTATACTTTNCAACATATGCAAATTTTGCACGGTTTGGCTTACTTTTCAAAGAGTTATCGCTATTTTTGTGATTTTTCCTTAATTTATGATAACCAGTGTATTAGTATTAGAGCTAGATAAGCTACTGGCTACTGATGAAAAAACAATTGTAATCTCTTTAGTTATACTTTATAACTAAACAGTGATAAAAAAATCATATTGTTTATGTCAAATATTTTGTTTTACACAATATATGTGCCTTTATTATTGCTATTATATAATAATATAAGGCTATTACATAATAGCCTTTATTTTACATAATATATGAGCATACCTACAAGCATTTGATGGAAAACTTATTTTATCGATGTAATAAACGTATGCAGTTATTAAGAAGAGCATGATGAATAAAGTTTGTATATAATTTCATTTCCTTAGTTTTCATTAAATAGATAATAGAAATAGATTCGAAGATAACAGATTTTAGAGATTTAATAATCAGTCGGATATATAATCTGAGCTTCATAGCATTATAAATACAATTGAACAATCCCTTATGAACACTCAGTCATATATATATGACTATTGTATAGATATATTTAGTAAACAAGAGGATTTTATTTTTGTGAAAAGTCAATTAAAAGTGTGAAAAAGAGTCAAATAGTTTTAATGGAAAAATAATTAGTTAATTAATGAATTCGGGCAATTTAGATGATGTTTTTATTACACGTATAAAAACATCATCCAAATAAAAACTGTCACACCGATTATTGGCAAGTATTTAATTTATATTGAAATCTTTTATGAGAGATGAACACTCCTCTATAATCCTTGTTTGTATGAATCCTGTTTTTAATGAAAAATTATGTCGTGTATTAAGTTTATTTAGGGTATATTAAGAAGAAATGCAACTGATACTGCTTCAGATAAATGTTTCACATAAATTGTTTAAATTAATATTCATAATATATTAAGTTAGTATAAAGTTACTTCACAGTAGTAAATTCACGATTCATAAAAATGATTCGTGTTTTTTTTCAAATTCAAAGAAAATTTTTTTGTATTCGACACAAATTAATGAACTTTTAATTTAGCATCACAAATTTACCAGAGCTATCAAATTCATCATAAAATTCTACATAAAAAAACTTTAGTATTAGTTACAAAATAATGATCCTATAAAAATACACATAATTTTCTTTTATTTAAAAAGAGAAGTAAAAAAAAAAGCTGAAGTCCTATACCTCAGTTAGTAAAAAATTACTCACCATCAAATACTGTGATAACAAATTTGATATCAGTATTAATGCTTTAAAAAAAAGCTGACGATTCTTACTATGAGCTGAAAATCTCACATTTAATAGAATGCCATGACAATAACCTTGGTATCAGTCACAAAATGATTCCATAATGATAATACCTAAGATTGTAAAAGAAAATCTAAGTATCGATATTTGAAATTTTTTAGAATGGCTCATACTCCCCATCAAATACTGCGTAAATGTTTTTAGTCTCATTCATCAATTTCCTTTTAGAATACATCCTATAACTCGGCAACATATTTTTTCGAGTTGTTCCAATGGCTCCGAAAATCACATTGGCGTAAAAATTTGTGCTAAATGTTTGCGCTGCTAAGCCCTTTTTTACATCGAACGACACAAGCAAGTTCTTTAGAATAGCCTCAGCTATGACAGGACTTTCTGCATACAATGGTCCAATTTTTGCGCAACCTTGAATCGTTTGTTTGGCGGTACCGTAGCCGACACAGGTGCCTCCTTTTGTGGCGACAAACGATCGACTGTCTTTGTCTCGGCAGTTGGAGACGACGAGTTGCTCTCGTTCGTAGCCCACCACTGACCTGTCATAATCCAAGATGGCTCCTAAGTACGAATCTTGATACTCGTGAAGGTATACATTTTGAGGAACTTCTGAAGAGAGTAAATTGTAATCAATGACTGTGTCATATTCGTATTCTATGTTAAGAAAATCATTTTGCGGATGAAAAGGCAATTTCAGATTCCTTTTCAACAGTCCAATGTCTGAATTTCCAACGATGTTGCAGTTGGGATGACTATCGAATGAGTGTTTGATAATCTAAAATTATATATATATATATAATTATATATGGAGAATTTTATGTATATATAATTTTTTTTCNAATTAGTGTGAAATATATATATATAAATATAAGGTTCGCAGTCATGAACGTATGAGCAGAAGAAATAGGCACAGGATTTGAACGAGGGCAAACAAATTTATTTTATTTAATCATTTTGAGATGTATGACGAGAGAGAAAGAGCCACAGTTTCATCGTGATTAAGCCTAAATGTTAGGGAAAATCTTGCAGAGAAAATCATTAAAATGCTTCGATTTATGGATAAAGGGAAATCTTAGTAATTATAATTGGTTTATTCAATAAGTCGCGCGATTCCTACAAGGAGTAATAGGAAAAATTTCTTACTTTTAATCAATGCATGCTTGAGCCAAAAATAGATTTAAGGACAGGGTGTGAATTTAAAAGTGTGAGAAAGTGTTTCGATTAGAATAATAAATTAAGAAAAGGATTTACAGAAAAGAAATAACATAAGAAGATTAATTAAAGCTTAAAGCTTTTTATGTTAAACACCCCCCCATATATATATATATTACTTTTGCAGGCTTGTTTTGTGTTTTTGCATTTAAGGATCCACTGGATTGTTCTGTGCGGAATATACACGCATTGCTTTTATGAGAAACGCGTGAACAATGTACCAAAAGTAGGTGGAAATGGGTAAATTTTGCAGTCGTCATAAAGTTATCAACCATCTTATATTCATTTCGACAATAAACGCGATAAGTAATTTAAAAAATTTCATTTTAGTCCAGGAATTAGTGTGAAACAAAAGCGCGTTTCTTCGGAAAACTGAATATCCAAGATGTTTTCTAACTAAAATTTTTATTATGTTATTGTAAATGGTACTTAAAATTCATCTCCTTTCTCTTTCCCCTCTTTCTTAAGAGAAAGGGGGTGATTTGGGGGGGGGGAGAATTTCTAAACAATTATTGTTTCCTATTTTTTCAGCGTTGAATTAAATGAGACAATCGGATTTTTCGTTTAGAACAGTATTATGTACGAAAAGTACAAATTTGTACCTGTGCCTATTTACGCATCTGATGCTACTATCTACGTAAATGAGACATTGTTTCCTATGTATTTTATTACGTGGAATCAAACTATATAAAGGAGACTATATAGGATTCGATATAACAAAAAATTCGAAACTTGCATGTTTCTGCATTAAATAAATTTTGATGTTACTTAGTATTGTATTTGACTTAATTTAGAACATATTTTACTTTGGTATCTTAGGCCTATCTGAACATGTTAAGTGCACTTTCCGATGAAATTTTTTATTCTAAATTAAATGAGGTAAAACTTGAGTTGCTGGGATTAGTAGTTTTGACTTTATAAGTGCTTTCTTCATGATTGCAATTCAGAAATTGTATATTTTTACAAACAAAAAAAAATTTATAAACAATTGGTTTCAATTTTTGAAATCTTAACCCTTTTGATTTTGTTACTTAACCCTTTCGTGTTTGATTATATTTCGTTTGCAGTAAAAATACATGGCAGAAATATCTTACTTGTTTGTATTGAAATGCGTAAATAAGTGCAAGTGTGTAATTGTACTTTTTGTACACAAAACTCTTGCAACTACCTAACAAATTTTCTTACCGATTCTTGTTTTGTCTTATTGTTGAAACAGTATCAATGCTGAAACATTATTTCGGAAAATAAACCTGACATGTTCATAGATCTATGAACAGCAATGTAAGGTGAACACATAAGTACGCGTCAAAGTAAGTACTTTTAACACATAACATCTCTTTCATCTTTTGAACTATGTGTGTTTATTGACATGCGTATAATCGCATTTGATCTGAGTAAAAAAATTACATCGGAAACAATGTCTCACTTGTTTAGATAGTATTATCAAAGGCATAAAAAAGTTCAGGTACAAATTTGTGCTTTTTGTTCACAAATCGCTTATAACTTCTAAACTATTTGTCCAAACGTTGCTCTCATCAAATTCAGCATAAAAAGGTACATAGGAATCAATGTATCAGTTCAATTAATTAATCAATTCAATAGAAGTAATTTAATTCTCTCCATCAAATTCCCCCATTTCTCTCAAAAAAAAAGGGACGCATAGAGAGAATTTTCAGGTTTCATTTATAATAACGTAACTAAGTGTTCTATGGGACGGGATAGCCTGTCTGGTAGGGTGCTGGGCCCACGTCTAAGGGGTCGTGAGTTCGATCCCTACCGACCGAAGTGTAGTAAATGGTGACTGGTGCATGTTAAATCAGTCGGGTCACAAAGTCATCCATGTTCCTTTAGCAAATCAACTTCAGGGGGACTGAATTAACGATTGATCATTCTCTGGTTTAGTTTAAAATTACGATCTGTGGATGAATGAAGGGATGGGGAATGGATCCGCCTTATAAACGGGTTATGACGTATGTTCGTGGCAGAAGTCGAATTTTTGGCTATAGACGACGCCACTAGAAAACAATAAGAAGAGCCTCCCCTTTGCCTTGATAGCATGCGGCAACAACAACAATTACAAAGTTTTCTATATACAAAAAATCTTGGGTATTAACTTTTCGGATGAAAAAGTCTAATTTTACTGAACTATAGTTAACAAATTTAGTATTACACATTTGGATTGTTTGAAATCTTACCTGGCGTGCGATGCCCTGCAATCTGTAATTTTCATGCGTTACATGGAAACAAGCGAAATAGGTGTCATTTGTAATTTTCTTAAGGCATATAGTTGAAATGATCTTTCCTATAAAATACACGTGTACTTTTTAATTCAAAAATAAATTTAATCAATAAATCACAGAAGCAAAATAATCTGTTAAGCCCAAAATTTAAATAAAGGCAGAAAATGCAAATTTTACTAAGAAATATGGAACTTGGATGAAAACTCATCAAATTTTCAACTCTATGGTTGCATTTCAGTAGGCAGTAGATTGACAAACATAGTATTTTTTGTTTAATACAAGAGTAACATTTGATAATTGCAAGGGAACAATCGAATCTCATTTTTTCCCCCACTCCATCGTAAATTGGGAACACTTTTCTACTCAACATCGTAATTTTAGGTTCCTAAATCTTATAGTATTTGCGCAGCAAAACAAAATGGAACAAAAATGGAGAAATTGTGCAAGAAAAGGTAGGTAAGGAGCTTTCAGGAACCGCGCTAAGGATTTCAAATTAATAGCCAGTAAATTAGTCAAACATCAAAAGTATGGGCCAATTTTGAAAGTGTTCGCCAAATGCAAATTTTAAAATTTTTTAAATGATTAATTTTTTACGGTAGTTTGTTTCAGGCTTATATTATTTGACCCAATTCTACTTGGTTATGCGGAGCATCTAACGAAAATTTTCCCATGTAATTTTGAGGATTCAGTTTAATATACATTTTTCTTTCTTGTGGAAAAAATAATTCGCCAACACTTTCACCAAATTTACGATTTTATCGCATTTGCCGAGGCTCTGAATGCTTAGAGTGGGCCCTGGCTTTCAAATAAACAGGATTTTTGTTCTTTTTTTAAAAGCTCGTATTAAAATCCTAAACAAAAATCACTCTTTCTTGCATGTCAAATTCTAACTCTTTAGTTCCCTTCCTGCTGCCTGCAGAACGATCGATCTCTTATTTTTGGACAGTTTTGGAGTAATTGTCAGGGCTTCTAGATAAAATGCATAAATTTGTATCCTACGCTTCAGGAAATCTTTATGATATTGCAGCATCTGCATATACATTCGTAAATGAGAAAAATAAATTAAATGAGCAAGTGAAATTGTTCTGTTAAGTTTCTTGGTTTAGTCTGCTGCTTAAACTTTTTGTGCTTCAATAATCTTTGGCGAAAACAGGTTTGTAGTGCTTTTAAATAATCAGTAAATACAATTATTATGATTTGAAATATTAAACGTTGCTTTCACAACTAAACAAAAAAGAAATACGTAAGACTTTCTTAAGTATATGAAATAACTTGATTTGAATTGTATGTATGATTTCAATAAAAACAACAAATATGCTGCCAAGATTATAAAAGGGAAATAAAATGTGATACTATATGCAAGTGTAATATTTAAAATTAAAGAAAAATACTAAATTTTATAGAATTTATTTGTATTTTATTTAATAAGCAGTGTATTCGTAAGTACATTTTTAGGCATGTTAGAAGATACAAGACTTTTACCTTTCATAAAAAAAATTCTTTAAGTTTCTCTTTTACAGTTTTAAGATTAAAAAAAATAGAGATCACAGCAAGGCGATCGCAGGTTACCCATTGAAAAAATGTTCGTTGTCTAATTTTTTTTGGAAAAGCAAGTTTATTGTGTTTTCATCTTGGATATCTTTAACTCTTAATCCTGAACTGCTCGGTACACAATTTCACAGATATATTTGAATGCAGCTCAGACGCATTCTGTGTTAATTCTTTTGATGACTGAATAAACATTGAACAACCAATCGAGATCAATATTAAAATTTTCAGATGGGTACAATGGTATTTGTAGGAGATTGAAAGCTGCATCATACACCCGTTACGGATTCACAAGTTCATACATGAAATATGATTTGAAAGCTAGGCTTTTTTTTTGATTTTTCATGAATAGTGAATGTATCATTTATATTGCGTGGAAGACAGTCTACGGTCTTGTGCAAGTTATTGAGTACGTCGACAATGGATTCTTTTATCCCTAACTGATGATCAACCCCCAGTTCTCGTATTTGCATGAAAGGGGTTCGGAGAGCCACCATTTGCTCTTCTGTAGGGTTCAATTGATAAAAATTCCGAGAGTATGTGTTCGAAAATTAAGAATTTCATTTCCCGAACCCATTCATTTCATTAAATCAATGATAATTAGCAGTGTTCTGGTTCTGAGACAATAAAGCAATTTTAATCGATTTTTATCAAGCTCATGATAGTTTACAAATTTCAGCTTTTGCTACAACTAACCACTTTGGATTGATTTTTAATTAAACCCATGAAAGTTTACCATTTTTTAGATTTTGCTAGTTTTTCCCACTTAGGACAGAATAAAGCAGCATTAATTTACCATAAAATACTTTGTATTGATTTTCCATTAAGCTTATTCTAGTTTAATATTCGTCTTTTGCCACTATAAAACTTATCAATTCAAACAATCGAATCTGTAATAGTTTACAGTTTTCAACTTATGCTACCATAAAATACTTTGTATCGATTCTCGATGATTTACTTCCTTCATTTTCTGCTATCAAATAGCGCTTCTGATCAATTTCTAATTTAACCCGTGAAAGTTTAGCACTGAATCAGTGATAGTTTACCATTTACAACTTTTGCTATCACAAAATACTTTGCAAAATTTTTCATTGAAGCCTGTACAAATTTGCCATTTTTGTTTTCTGTTATCAAACAGCGCTTTGGGTCGAATTTTAATTAAACCCGTAGTGTTTTTATACTAATTTTTAGCCAATTAAAAAAAAATTATTAAAATTCAAAATTTATAATAAAAAATGGAGTATTTATCGGAATTATGAATCCATTAAGGGCGTTAGATCAACCTCGAGCTGAAAAAAACTTGCTAACTAACCACGCGCTCAGCGACGAAATTCAAAAACCGAGGGAAAAAAACATTCGCTGATAGGTTTTCGCTCCGTGACGTCATTCATCCTCAGCCATTTACAGTTCTAGATCTAAAAAGGGAAATTCAGTAACACGCGACCCAGCCACCAGCTAATATTATGAAACAAATTAAAAACAATAAAAGAAATTTAAATACTTATTTACAACTCAAATATTGGTCTGCGATGTCTTGATTTTTTGTTAATTGACTGAAAATTAATACATAACTGTGGTAGTTTACCCTTTTCATCTTCTGCTACCATAAAGCACTTTGGATCAATTTTCAGGAGGATTTTGTAGCACGAAGCTGCATCGTAAAATCCGTTAACTCTTCTCAATTCCTTTACTTGGGGAATGTCTTGTTCACGCATGTATCGTAGTCTGTATCGGGGAGCACTCCTCTCGGGTTGATTGGAAATGTTTCTAAAAAGGAATATTTAAAACATGACAAAAACATCATTGAAAAGTCTGTATTTTATTTATTACTAAGATAATTGAAGCGGTCAATGCTAAAAGGAGACATGTTACAAATATGCACTTTTTTTAAATAAATAAATAAATAATAATAAATAAATAAATAAAAATTAAATAAATAAATAACAATAAATAAATAAATAAAAATTAAATAAATAAATAACAATAAATAATAAAAAAAAAATTCTAAAAAAAAGGAAAAAATTGCGATCGCTTTGTTACGACAACTGGTTACACATTGGTCAAATGCTTTTTTTTCTGGATAGACTCCGATAAATTCCACAACATTTCGAATCATGGGTNCTGAAAATTAATACATAACTGTGGTAGTTTACCCTTTTCATCTTCTGCTACCATAAAGCACTTTGGATCAATTTTCAGGAGGATTTTGTAGCACGAAGCTGCATCGTAAAATCCGTTAACTCTTCTCAATTCCTTTACTTGGGGAATGTCTTGTTCACGCATGTATCGTAGGCTGTATCGGGGAGCACTCCTCTCGGGTTGATCGGAAATGTTTCTAAAAAGGAATATTTAAAACATGACAAAAATATCATTGAAAAATCTGTATTTTATTTATTACTAAGATAATTGAAGCGGTCAATGCTAAAAGGAGGCATGTTACAAATATGCACTTTTTTTAAAAAAATTAAAAAAATAAAAATAAATAATAAAAAATAAATAAATAAATAAAAATTAAATAAATAAATAAAAAAAATTTTAAAAAAGAAAAAAATTGCGATCGCTTTGTTACCATAACTGGTTACACATTGGTCAAATGCTTTTTTTTCTGGATAGACTCCGATAAATTCCACAACATTTCGAATCATGGGTTGCAAAAACTGTCTCAATTGATGTCTGTCGTCGGCATGGTTTTCAAATCCTGCCTATATACGCACAGCATACTTTTCCTTCTTAGTATTCATATTTATATTGAAATTACCATCAAGGCAGTTATTATAAGTTAATAATAAAAGGAATATAAAAATACTTTAAATTATTATTATGCAAATACAACAAAAAATGCCTGCTATTGAAAAGAAAAAGAAATAAACTCACCAATTTAATACATAACAAAACTAAAAGAGAAAAAAGGAATTCTAAAGAAAATTATCAAACAGCAGCGGTCACCACAGCAACGCACACAATGTCGACGCATGCGCACTGTTTACTATTACTCTTGAACACAATTGAAAAGTGTGATGGCGTCCAAATAAGGTGCGCACGCCATCAAACCCGAAACAACACCCATTTTGCCAATGAGTGAAATAGAAAAAGCAAAAATAAACTGAGTCAATTGTGGAAGGATTGTTTTAATTGCTTCCAAATTGTTTGATTCTCTTTTTTAAGCAGCGTAGAAAATTACTCGATGTTTGATAATCGGTGATTGATGTTCCAAAACCAACAAAAAACTTATATTCGTAAAAATGTTGAAACTTAGAGTTGTGCTTGAAGCCAGTACACAATCGCGCAGTTGTTGAACTCAATACAGATTAATGATGGCATCATTCAATATGACTTGTTTACGCCCCATTCTGAGCAGATTTAGGAAACACACAGTAGACAATACTGCGAGCATTAAAAAATGTTCCGTATGATTTCAATATGATGAGCAACACGTGCGAAGAATATTGAGGAAATCTGAAGCTGTTAAAGTTTATAGACTTTGCACTGTTACGAGGGCTCCTTTTCTGACAGCTGAAACAAATTGCGGTGGATGAAGGTGACAACTTTCCAGCCGCAGCTCTACTTGTCCATGAAGATTTTTACGATGTTATTAATGTGAATGTAAAGAAAGTCGTATATTTAAAATTCGATTCCTCAAGAACTATTCAACCGATTACGCTCAAGTTTTGTATTTTGCCCTTTAAAATTATGTAAAAATTTATGTAACTTACGATTTAAAAACTTTATGATTGTTATTAAATAAAATAATAGCAAACATTTACCAAATTTTTTTTTTGCATGGAATTTTCTTTGGATAAACGAATTTTATAATTGTATGCAAAAGATTTTTCAATTCACTTAAAAAGTTCTCAAAATATGGCGAAGTACGCAAAAAATAAAATTAACATTAGAGGGTCCAAACTTCGTTGAGCTCTCCTGACCGAACTATGGGGACCATATTTCCCAGATTGCGACAACCCACTATATTTTGAGGGTCAAAAATAAAAATCCCTTGAAAAAAAGGTATGTTTATTCAGAGAAAGTAAGTTTAGTGTCTGATTTCGTAATTTTAAATATCGTCTGCATTAATTAATTAACCTGTTTGAGGTCACCCCCTCGAGCCCTTTAGGTGGAGTTCTAGAACGTGAAGATCCGATCATTAGATCAACAGCTATTCAGGGTAGTCCGTTTTTTGGTTCACTGTACATTTAAAAATAACTATGTTTATTTTTTGCGTAACTTCTTAATTGAAATTTTGTACATTTTAACTGGGGCAGAATGTAAGCGCTAATGCTGCGTCTTGGCACGCTTTTGTCGATCGCCAACGATAAAGTTCAGTTTAATTTTGGCTTTGATCAAGCACAAATGTATTCCCATTTCTTTTAGTTTAAAAATAAAGTTATTTCTTAAGTTTTATAAAATGACGTCTACTTGTCTCTAACAGTGGCTTAGAAAGGAATGTAATTCTCCTTTAAAAGCATGATTCTTTACAACGTATTTTCTTAACTGTATATACGTATATTTTAAACTAAATAATAAATAAAAAAACAATAAATAATTGTTAAAAATTATTTCATTGCTTGAAATTCAACTATGTTAATAATTCTGCGCATTTTTTGTTAGGTATTAAAAGTGAAATTAACTTTAAAAAGGTCAAACTATCGATTTCTCTCCTAACTAACTATTGGGACCCTCTCTAAGCCACTATTTTGGCGTTCAAAAATTCGAATCTTTCGTAAAAAGCTCTGTACTTTCACAGATAGTAAGTTTTCATGTTTTTCGTGACTTAAAATATCATCTGCAGAAATTTTCTTTAGTATTTAAAGAGAATGACGATTCATTCAAAAAATGCAATGTAAAACGTAACAATTCGATATAAGATTAAAATGTATTCATGTGTTCCGTTTTTTATTTTGTGCACTGTATGCGCATATTTACTTACATATGCCTATTTTATCTGAACTAATCGAGAAATAGTAAATAGTTTGAACGACTCAGAAAATAGTTTTTTTTTAAATTGCTGAACTCATTAATTGTATTTTATTTAAGGAATTTTGTTCATTGGATAAGTGTCGTAAAAATTTACCAAAAATCACTTTACTCTAATATTCTCCAGATATATTTTTTGAAAGTTAAATAAAAGAAATGTTTATTAAATAGCTATTCCTACAATTCTTAAGAAATCAGAAATCTTACCTCAGCCGTGTAGTTACTGAACTGCGTAAATTTTTCTTCACTAGCGTAACGATATTTAACTTATGCATGTTCTTTTAAGCTCTGTTTCAGATAACAATTCTCTATTTGTATATTTTTTCTCGCATAAACATTCATGTGCCTTTATATAGTATTCACAACATCGCTTTTATTCTATAACTTCCCTTAACTAACAATAACTTTATTCGATAACTATTTATAATTCATTGTATTTATTTACTAATCTTAAAGAGAAACGCACTTAAATCTAGAAATAATGTTCATTACCTACAAAAATAAGCTTCACTTCTTTTAAAGACATGAATTTTTATTGATATTATATGAAAACCGAGTTATAAAATCATGGAAATATTGGAGAATTGCTTATAAACAAACTCGTTTTATATTTATTTTTGCATTGCTCGTCATAAGGGAACATAGGTTGTCTCATCTATTAAAAATTTCCATTCTTTTTATAATTTACTGTGTGTTTATAAATAAATCAACTTACTAAAGAACGAAATATTTTTATTTATTATATATGTATATATTCTATTATAAATATTAAAAACTTATAATTTATTTCATTAGCTTATAATAGTCCATAAAATTGTGTTTAAAATAATATCAGCAGAGTGATTCAGAAGAGCGGTTATATAAACTCGGAGGTAGGGCACATCAAAGAAAAAATAATTAAAATTTGAATAATCATTTTGAATGAAGCAAAAGTTATTTTTTTAATATTGTTTTCTCCACATTAGCTCCATGCAGGGCCTAAAACTGTAAAAGGTGATGACTAATAGGAAGCAAAAATCTATAAAAAGATATTTCCTAGCATATTTTATTTTTAGATTACTATAAAAAGTGAATGCAAATAATATTTTCACTTTAAATATATATGTTTTGCAATGTAAGTCACGTGGTAGTTACGATCGAATAATTATGTAACTATAAGTAAATTAAGTTCCTACCCCTTCTTAAGTTTTTAAGCGCGTGCAGGGATGCCACAGGCAAATGGAAATATAAAAAAAGTGGCAGAAACTAAATTCGTTTTTTTATTTATTATCTCGTTGATTATGCTATCGTAGAGCCGTAGTGGCTCAGGGAATAGATCACTTGAGTTTGAATCCCAGCAATGGTGGGTCGATACGAACTCCGCACCCGGCTCGCACCGACCACAGTGCTGACGTACTATATCCTCAGTGGTAGACGGATTATGGGTTAGAGTTCCCTTGCTGTCAGGCTAACTGTGAAAGATTTTCGTGGTCTACCTCTCCCTGTAACGCAAATGCGGGCTAGTTCTACCAAAAAGTCATCTATGAAGGCAAATTTTTCCCAATATTTGATCCAGGAGTTCGATTGTCTTTTCGATTAAGTTCAAAACTACAAAGCTACAGAGTTGAACATTGGTAGTCGTAAACTCAAAATTGGGTCGGCTGTTCAACGACGTTTATAAATAAATTGGTAGAGAATTAAATAGTAGAATATGGATAATTAATAATTATGCTTACTCTTAAAAAGTGTCACTTCGAGATCACAGTCATAAAGCTACATTTTATTTGATAGTTTGAATTTTCGATAAGCAGTGGTGGGAAAATGACTTAAAATAAAAAATACTAAACTAAAAATATCTTAAATTCCTTTATCACTAGAAAATATTTTTTACAAAGCGGAGCATGTTTTCCTCTTTGTGTCATAAGGCTAGTGTGGACAAATCAAAAAATTTATTGATTAATCTACAGCATATACATAAAAATACGAGTTTCCAATGAAGTATCCGATATTGCTGAATCGTTTGGAAAAAAAGAATAGATTTAACTCTTCCCGAAAACTAGCTTTTCCTATTTTACGTTTCGCTTTCAATCTTGTAAATAAGTGATCGGGAAATAAAGCAATAATTTTTTACCTTAATTATTATTTCACTACTATTTTAAATACTGCAGGAATCTGTTAATATCATCCGGATTTTGAACCATCTAAATACTAATATATAGCGTAAATGAGTGAACTATATTTCAATCATAAAAAATCTAATTTTAAGGTGAGTGATTGAGGTAGAATTTTTATTTATTTATTTATTTACCAGAAAAAAAGNGCAATAATTTTTTACCTTAATTATTATTTCACTACTATTTTAAATACTGCAGGAATCTGTTAATATCATCCGGATTTTGAACCATCTAAATACTAATGTATAGCGTAAATGAATGAACTATATTTCAATCATAAAAAAAAAATTCTAATTTAAAGGTGAGTGACTGAGGTAGAATTTTTTTTTATTTATTTATTTACCAGAAAAAAAGTATTATTTATTCATCAAACTGAATTTGTTTTTTAATTTAAAAAGAAATCTGACAAATCATTATTAAATATCAGCTGAATGGCAATAATAACTAGTAGCTGAAAGGCATTTTAATGCAACTGTTAAAAAAATAGTCAAGTTCATTTTTCTGAAAAACAAAAACCTTAAAGTTAAATCATTAGTTTTTATTTAATTTCCTACTGTACAAAATTTTCGAATTTATTAAAGAAAATATTTTATTAAGTTTATAGAATTGAGTACATAAATACTAAAATAAATGATGTGCAGTTAATGTTCAAGAAAGAATTTATGACATATAAAATGAGTGAGTCCTTAATTTTTGTTGTTGTTGAAGATATTGAGATTTGGTTTTTATTTAGTTTATGGTTTGGTTTTATTTACTTTCGGTTTTTATGAAGCTGTAGTTATTTCATTGTTAAAAGGTTCTTTAATTTTTAAATAATTTTTGAGTGTTTATTTCCGATTGCTCTGTCAATGTTATTTCAATATGACCACATTTCTATAGTTTTCTCTTCATTTCTATAATAATGCACACACAATCACAATTTTAGTTTGCGTTGCTTTATATATGGTTTTTATTTTTGAATTTATATCATTTAAGTTTGTAAAATAATTCGTTTATTTGCGCATTTCTTCGATATCTTAGGCTTTCTTTTTAGTAAATTCATTAATATTTGAGCAGTAAGAAGTAAAAATATCTTAATCTTATGTAATTTTAAATCTTGATTTTTAAATAATAGTTGTAATTTATGTCCTTCCAAAATTATTTTAATGAATCTATTTACGATAATAACCTGACACTCTTGCAAAGAAGGGACTAGACCATCCAGTTCCCTCCACCTCAGAGCTTACATACCTTGAACTTTTTGCAAGGCAAAAGGCCCAGAACAAACAAAAGTGGCTGCTTCCACCTATTCACTACTGGTATAAAGCAGAAAGACCAGGACTCTATCTCTCCCTGGTGATAGGCAAACCAACACCTGCTTATCCCGACTGGCCAGTGGACACCTAAAAAGTCTCACATTTTCTGCAAATCAAAAAATCTTTCCTCTTTGCCCTAAATGCCAACAAAACCAGGCATCACCTGAGCACATCTTGAACTGTTTAGCCCTGGACTGGAA